CAAGCCAGTACCTACGCCCTCTATGTCTATACAAACTAATGCTACATACAAAATTCAAGACACAACTATAATGATTTTTACTCAGGGAAATTTTTAAACATACTTTCTGCCTGAAGGGCAAAGGCTAGATCCAGTAATTTCAAAACCCCTATAATTATATGATTTAGGAGAAAATGCAGTGAAAACCTCTTTTTTTAATCCCAAGTGGAAGAAAACATTGAATGTCTAGGTTGGTGGTCAATAGTGTACAGAATGAACTTTACTTTGTGTAAGCTTTTAAAGTAGAGATATATATCTCAAACTTTTTTTGTTGTTTGCTAAATTCTAGAGTTAGAGACTTGTGATCAATAGCCCAGACACTTCTCCATTGTACCAGCCAACTTTCCCCCTGAGGAAAACAACTTTAAACTTCAGAGACAAAAATGAGAAGTGCTCAGATGTGAAAGTTTCACTAGCATTTCTTATCATCAAACATGCATTCATCTAGCATGTATAGCAAACCTACTATATTTAGACACTATGCAGGATACCAGAAGGAATATAGAGGAGAAGGCGCAGCACTTGTAATTGAGCCAAGCACAGCAATTTTATTGGGATAGGTTTGATTCACCAAATGGCAAAGAATCTATGTGATGAATTTGCAGTTCTAATTAAAATTCCCCAGAGTCGGTTCTTTAAGTCTCAACCCTAATTCATTTCCAGAAAGCCCTGTGGTTTTAAGGTGATTTATATTGCTTCTGCAAAGACTGTGGAGAAAGCTCTTGGCAATCACATGTCTTGTACAAATACAATTTACAGATCAAATCAGAGAAAAAGTACCGTAGCAAGTCTAGGGGAAGAAACCATGAAATGTCCCAACCCCCATACTGTTCCTAACACACACAGGCTCCTGATGTGTGTTGACTAAATATGAGTGCTATGTCAGACACTAGGAGGCCACAAAGGCTAGGAATGCATAGTTCCTCCTCCTGGGAAGCTCACACCTCATGGGGATGGGGTAAGACAGATGACTGTTAACAAGACAGACTTGCTTGTGTCAGATCCCTTAGCTTTCCCAACTGGGCTGTCACAGAGGTCATGGGTACTGTGTTTAAAGCTGTCATGAGCTCCTGAACTTGGCTCAGGTAATTCCCATCTGCTCATCTTGCAACTGTGAACCTTGAACTTCCTCACACATCAATGCATCTCATTCTTGACCTGTTTGGTCCTAACCATTGGTGTCTAGCTTCACATAGACTGGCAACCTTAGTTAAAACTACTACATTGGTGCTGCCCTGGACAAACCTTTAGGAGAGACAGCATAGTGATGAGTTAAGCACAGACTCTTGACTATCCGGACTACCTGTATTTGAAGCCTGGCTGTGCTATTTTTAATGATCTTGGGCACCTGGCATAACTTTTTGTGTATGCTTCAGTTTCTTAGTCTTCTGAATTATGATCCTAATAGTGCCTAACTCATAAGGTTGTTATAAGGATTAAATGAGTTAATATCTCCAAAGCACTTATAAATGTTTCTGGCACATAGTTTTTATGTCAAATAAAGGCTATTTCCTGTGGTTTCCTCTTGGTATCATTTTAATAAATGCAGGCAATTGGCCCCGTGGCCACATGGCCTAACCAGACACCACCAGTTAGCAAAGAGCATGAGTGACCAAAAGTAAGGAGCTAGGAAAGTAAAGAATGTCAAATTAAGGGTCCAGTCTGGCCAAAGCACTGGGCTCAGGGGGCTGCAGATGTAGTAGTGATTTTAGAAGGTGAAAAGAAACAGTTGTGGAGAAACTTAAATCCCAAGATGGGGAGCTTGTCATCTATTCTGTAAGCCATGTGGCGGATAGCAGTGCTCTAGAAGGAGTTCTAGCAGTAGTAAGGAGGATGGACAGGAGGCTGGGAGATAGGAAAGAAAATATTTTTAGAAAAGTTGCAATCATCTAGGCAAGTGGTAATGAGATGCAAAACAAAGGTGGTGACAATGTCAGTAATATCAAAAGAGAAAATGTTACAATAAAAGAGACTATTTGTAAGCAAAACTAAAAATGTATAAAAATTATTTGCCTGGCTGTGATATGTCAGGCACATACAAGGTGCTTTGTGAACATTGTCTCATTTAACTGGTGCAATATCTGGGCTGAGTAAATATGGGTACCTGATTAATTCAGGTGAAGAAGCTCAGGGAGATCAAGCAACTAACCTGAGGTCACAGTTCTAGAAAGTGGTACAACAGGGATTCAACCCAAGTCAGTCTGGTTTCAAAGTCCTATCTTTCTTTCACTGATTAAATTCATGTAGGGTGTGAGACAAAGGGAGAGGCTGAATGTGCTCCCAAATGCTCTTGGAGGCTGAAAATGTATTAGTTTCGATGAGAATGTTTCAAAGATGAGATGCTTCATTTGGCTTTGAAATTTAAAATTTTAATTGTTTTGGAGATACGGCAGTGTTTAGCAGGCAATTGGAAATTCAGATGCTGAATTAGGAGAGAAGTCAGGCTTGGAAACACGTATTTTGGAGTCATTTGCAGAAAGTTGAAAAAGTTGAATAAATAAGCTTTCCAAAAGGATCACCAAAGAGAGTAAGATAAAAAGAGGGTCAAGAAAGACTCTTAGTAGTATTTCATTTAATGAGTAGAAGTGAAGGAAAATCTGTGAGGTGAGGTTAAAGGCTCAGAGAGGGGAGTCTAAGACTTCAAAGAAGAGAATTCAACAGGGAGTAGGTGTCAGCCGTGTCAAATGCTGCCGAGATCAGAGGGTAAGAATAGAGAAAAGTCCAATGAATTTGTGTTTAGGGAGGCCACTGGGGACCCTTAGGAGAACCATTTTTGTAGAGTGGAAGACCTAGATTTAAAGTAACTATTTGGTAATGAAGGTAGAAAAGCAGAGGGGACGTTAAAATGAGTATGGGAAACACCTAGCATGTTTCCATTAATAGGTCAAGGAGAAATCAAGGAGAATCAAGAGTGACTGACACTTTGTAGAAGGATGACTGATGGAGGGCAAGGCCATGGAGAAGAGTGGAAAGAAAGAGAACAGGGCATAGGTGAGGAGTTTTCCCTGTAGAAGGGTTTAGTCTCTTCCTCTTTAGCGATCTGAAGAAATTCAGGGTAGAGGCAGTAAAGGAAACCCGTGTTGCCTGATCTTTCTTTCCTTAAAAAAAAGTAGATGTAAATAATGATCTGCTAAAGTTGAAGGGCTTCGATGGGGTATTTGAGGGGCAGAAGAAGAGTGTAAACAGTCCAAGGCTTTCTCTTTTACCTTTTACTGCCATATTGTTAAATGACTCATTGCAGACACCGCATTTCCTTTGTCTTCCCTTTATTGGCTTGTGGGTTGTTTTTACTGGCATCAAGCGTGAGATATAGTATACTTCCAGCTCTTTAAAGTGTTCTCATTTTTTTCCTGGCACTTAGGAAATATACTTACTATTTCATGTAAAAAGTGAGAATACCGAAAGAGGATACAATCGTCCCAAAATAATAAGTAAATTGGTTAAATAAATAAGATATGACAACTCAGCATAAAAATACTGAGGTGATGAACCATAAATGAGATTTTTAAAAAATGAATTCCTTAAAATGATAGTTAAATCACTTAAGTAAGCTTTGTCTTAGATGGCCGTCACATTTTCTAAGCATTATCCCAGAAAAATGAGAAGCATATTTTTACTTTCAAGAATTGTTCCTCATACTTCATTTGCCCTGTTTCAAGATAAGAAAAAATATCTTTCATAATGTAAGTAACAATAAAACCACTGCTGATGATAACGGTAATAGAAACATTCCCAGTTCTTCCAAAGTGTAGGTCAGGGACTGAACTTCAAAGAGAAGACTCTGAAATTCATGCAGAATGGGATGAATTCCAGCCCACCCACTGCAAAATGCTTCCCTACTCATCTATTTTCCAGAGATACGCTTAGTGCCGTGGGCATGCTCAGGGATTTTCCTAGTCATGGAGAAATGACTGGTGTGTAGCTGCTCTGGTTCAGTTCTCATAGCTCTCGGAGGGACACAGAAAAGGGCTGAATCCAGCAGCCGTCTTAGCTGAAAGCTAAGGGGAAAAAGTGAGAAGGGGATGGTGAGATCAAACTTTCATGTGTGGCCCATTTTTGATGCGGCTGAAAGAACTGGTTAGAACAACACTTTTCATCTTGAGGAGCTCAGATATTTTTGGCCTCCAGATAATTCTGTATGTGGACAGGCATAGTAACTAGCACAAGATTAAAGAAAAGACAGAAGAGGCACTCAGTGATGTATTTAGTTTGTTTAGGAAAGGCAGAGGTTTAATCACATACTTGCATTTTCCCTCTTCAAAACTTTTTCCCTTGAGGAAGAGCCATGCACTGTTTTACTGTTTACTAGGTGATAGCGAATTCTGTATTATGCATAGTGTAACTCTATGTTAGACAGTTACATAAATTAACCCATGTAATATTATGAACAACTCTGAAAGCTTCATTTTGTTGCCTCGATTTTAAAAGTGAAGACCAACTGTCTAGAAAATAAGCCGATTTCCCAAGACCATTTAGCTAGAAAACAGAGAAACTGAAATTTGAATACAGATCGTGTGGATGCAAAGCCCATGCTCCACCAAAGGAAGCTTATCCGTGGACTCCCCCTACCCTTACCCACACATATACTATAGCCCTCCATCCAGAGATCATCTTATTTTTCTCTTGATTAAAAAAATAATAATAATTCTAGGGCGGGGTGGCTGAAGCCTGTAATCCCAGCATTTTGGAAGGCCGAGGTGGGAGGATCACTTGAGGTCAGGAGTTCGTGACCAGCCTGGCCAACATAATGAAACCCCGTCTCTACTAAAAATACAAAAATTAGCAGGGCACGGTGGTATGCACCTATAATCCCAGCTACTTGGGAGGCTGAGGCAGGAGAATCACTTGAACCCAGGAGGCAGGGGCTGCAGTGAGCTGAAATTGTGCCACTGCACTCCAGTCTAGGTGACAGAGTGAGACTCCATCTCAAAAAACAATTAATAATAATAATTCTAAATTTTAGGCTTACAAAGTCCTGAAGAAGAGAGCTCTAAGATTTGACTTCTGAAAGGTAAGTTCCAATGTTACCAATATTCACTCTGTTAAATTTTTATGAGAATCTAAACCACTTTTTAAAATGTAGTAATGGTCTTTGAGCAAAATTGGAAAATACACATACATATATAATTTAGGATACATTGAAATCTGGCTTCAGCCTCCCAATTCAGACAACATTTACTATTTGGTTTCAGTTTCAGACTTGACCTTGACTTTTGAAAGGCAGAATAGTTGAATGTCTATTCTATAATATAATGTCAGTAACACAAAGTTTGTTATTCTGATCAATATTAATATCTGAATATTCACTTTTAAATATGTGATTAAAATATTATATATATTACATCATATGAATACATAAGATTTCTGTTATATTGCTTATAATGTAAGTATTCCAGATAGTACTTCGAGTAAGAATTCACTTGTGTGCTTTGTTCAAGTTTTGACAGTTGAAGTATAAATGCATTTTTACTATTCTGAGAGTAAGATGCTATAATAATTAATGATTATAAAGTTACTAATTTTATCTACCAAAAAAGTCCCTCAATTATTAACAGCTTTCAAATAGTTAAGTAGGAGAATAGGATTGACAGTTACTATGAAAATGGATTTATAATCCCTTATCTGAATTCCCTGGGACCATATATCTTTTGAACTGCAGAACTATTCAGATTTTAGGAAGATAGTAGATTGCATGCACTGTATTTATCAACCTTCCCAGGGGTCGGGGGTTTAGCAAACAAGTTGATGTAGGGCATTACTATATGGTAAAATGTGTGACCATTCCCACGAAGCCTCACATCAGATCACACGGATTCTGTGGCCAAATGAGGTATGAAAATGTTTCCATTTCTCAGAGCTTTGGATGTTTAAATTGGACATAAAGGATCGTGGATGTTTTAAGGGAGGCATTCCTAGATAACTTTGGGAAAAATAACAAATTATTTATAAACAACTGTTTGTAAGCATAAAAATAATAACATAAGACAGAAAAATAGAGATACTGTTAAAATTACACCATAATGCCAATCTTAAGAGTTGTTTTGTGAAGTGAAATTTTCAACATTAAACAAAAATAAACTTTTAGGATTGCATTTAACTGTAGTCATTTAATTCCACATTTTTCAGGGAAAAAAAAAAAAGTCCCTATTTGGGATTACTTTAAGCCTTGCAGAATGAATTAAAATAATTCAGTGTTACCATCTACAAATTTCACAAAAATGAAAAGTTCCAAAATTATGTATAATAACACTCAAAGATAAAGCATATGATAGCCAAAGAAAAACTAAAAAGAAAAAAAAAGATAAGGCACATGATGGAAAGAAGAGAATCTTAGAGAAAGAGAAGTCACTCAAAACATACCTTGTACTCACTACTCAAACTCCAAAGCAGTAGCCTTTATAAGAGAGATTTAAGATACGTTCTTAGGGTTTTGAATGTATGGATTCAAAAAATATTTTAAAAGCTTGATAAAATGATCGTTACAGATTGTTAACCATGTAAAGATAAAGGATATTTTAGACTTACCCAAGCTGTGAGTCCTAGGTATAAAATTTCTTCCAGAAAACATGTTACTGAAAATTATTTTCTGCTTTGCACAGAAAAGGTGAGTGTTGCTATGATATGTGCCACTTGAAAGGGGGTGTCTCTCCAATAATACAAATGCAGGCGCTAAAATCATCTTAGCCAACTTTGCTAAGAAATGATTGTTCCTGAACTGTTATATCAAACTGAAAATTTGTCTAATTTTTAATAATATAATTGCAATCATAATACAGTTTTAAAGAATAATACTTCGGATTTATTTTTGTATCCCAGAAGTTGACTATGCCATGATGATAATAGCATTCATCTTTGCTGAATATTGATTTTAACACAAGGCACAAAAATGTGTATTTGGTACACTATATATGGCAATATATATATTTAGTATGTTTATTTTCTGTACAGAATCATGATGCGCTTACTGGCTAAACCATTCTTCTGCTCTCAGGTTGGTTATCTTTGCTGCCCAACTCAACTGTCTTAAATAGTCCAGCAGAAAATGTAATTTTCAGATTTTGGCTACAAAACTGTACAGTTACAGATTTTGACAGTATGTTGCTGATGAAAATGAACTACTATTTATTGAACTCCTATTATGTGTCACACATTGATCAAGGTACCTTCAACAACAGTGAAAGAGTAGCTTTAATGTTATTTCAGTTTTACAGGTGAGTAAAGTGAGACTCAGATTTAAATGTTGGCTTAGAACTCAAGCCTTTTTTTACTTCAATTTGAAGGTGATTTTCACGATATCAGTGTTTTTCAAAATTGAGTAAAGAGGGAGAGAGAGCTGTGAAGACTCTAAATATTGACTTAAATTGTTTTATTATATTATTTAAAATCACATACATACAAATACTAGGTGAGGGAAAACTCCTTAATTATTGTGGCTCTCATATGACAATAAAACCAAAGAAAATTAACAAATCAGAACCAAATTACAACGTACGTCTACAACATTAATGTGATGATTGATGTTGTTCTGCTGAAACTAAGCTGTCAATGTCGAATTAAATAGTAGAACAATGTGTTTGTGTTTTTGTCTACATGATTCCTTTGCTTTCTCGCATGAGGAATCCTTTGACTCACTGCCACTGTCTTGGCGTTTGAAATTCTTTTTAATATTTATCATTTATTATCTTGTTCTGCCAACAATTTTAATAGTTTCCTGCAAAATACAGTACATGAGAATAGTTTTTTGGCTAGGCACGGAGCCTCACGCCTGTAATCCTAGCAGTTTGAGAGGCCTAGGTGGGTGGATTGCTGGAGCTCAGGAGTTCAAGACCAGCCTGGGGAACATGGTGAAACCTCATCTATACAAAAAAAATATAAAAATTAGCCAGGTGTGGTGGCTCACACCTGTAGTCCCAGCCACTAGGAGACTGTGGTGGGAAGATCGTTTGAGCCCAGGAAGCGGAGGTTTCAGTGAGCCAAGATCGTGCCACTGCACTCCACCCTGGGTGACAGAGTGAGACCCTGTCTCCAAATAAATAAATAAATAAATAAATTTATTAAAGAACAAGATAATAGTTTTTTAAAGTTTTAAAATTGTAACTATGCTAATGTTAATGAACTGCCATAAGAGGTACCGTATAAAACATAATATGTACTGTCCAGACTCCTGCTCTAGCATAGAGTTGTCCACTATAGCACATTTTCCCTTGAGTTCAACAAGCCTGTAAATCATGCTCAATGTAATGATTCCATTTTCCTACCACTTTCCTCTATTCAAATCGCTGGGAACCTTTGCTTGTGCAACAAAGCATGATGTCATTTGGCTTGCTATTAACCTGCTCATAAGCAGAAATGCAAATGAGGACACCAAAACCACGTGACACTACTCAGCTATAAGATAGTTATTCTGATGATTCACAGCGTGCTTATCTTAATTGTTTTAGATTAAAAACAACAACAATAAAATGCACAAAATTAAAAAACAATTATCTTTGACTTCTATACTCCTGAGAAGACAAACATGGAAACAAATATAGGTTCTGTTAGATATTAGGAGGCATGCTGTAAACAAAACAAAATTTAAAAACTTTCATTGTTGAATATGTCCAGGAAACCATTACCATAATAAAAACTTTGAGAAATTCCAGTTAACTTTGTTTTGCTCAGTTCAAACTACAATGTATTTTGGCGAATGCCAATGTAAACAACAATTCACTAGGTACTAGAATCAATTCATCTAGAGAGAACCACATAACTTCAAAGACAAATCATCTCAAAATATTGACTGGCAAATTGCTTTCAGCTCAGATTTTCTAAAATTTCTTTTTCTTTTTTTCCATAGCTCAGTCTTTAAAGGTCTATAGAAATCGGATGTCTGTTTATACGATATTAAGGACACATAGTAATATCTGTATTCAATTTAACTCTCATCTTAAAAAGAGGAATTTTATCTTTCAGTTTGAACATGCACAATGCCTAGTGCAGTGTCTTACATGTTGTAAACACTCACCAAATGTTTAATATTTGACTGATGATGCAATTTCTCCAAGCCCTAATTGTAATTCACAGGCATGATTTTTGTTGATAATAACCACATCCATAGAGACTGAAGCAAATGAACACAAATGACAAAGCCAGAGTACTGTTGGGAACCTCTAGCCTTGTTGTTGTTGTTGAATAAATATGAATAAATATTCATGGTATATGCATGAATAAAATATATGGTAGGACATTTTTATTTATGAATACAATAAACATGATTGAAAAGAATATGGGATATATTTTTAGCTGGTGCCTTTCCCTTTTTACAGGACTGGATGGTTTGATGCTTCATGTTTCAAAAAGGTGTTTTCACCTCCCTTGAGATTTTTATGAGTCCTTTTTAGTGGGAAAAACTGCTGCCTCCTGTAGCACAAGGTCTGTAGAAGCTGCTTGTGGATTTTGGCCCTGGGGATGTAGGCGTTATTGTGTATTTCTATAATTTTTCAAGGATATGTAACTTGCCTATAAAAATATGCCTGTGGGTTGAATCTTGGCAGTTAACATTTTAGTAAGAGAATATACTTAGTAATATCTGAATGTCTAAAAGAGTAACACATAGGTAAGCTATTTTTAAAAACTGGGTGACAAAAACATTGGTTGTTATTGCCACTTTTTGAACATGTTTGGCTATAACTAAATATCAACTTTAAAATTTATTTTTAAAAAAACATTTGAGAGGCAAGCATTTGGGTTAGCTCTACATTGGCTCCCCTCATCATGAAAAACAAATAACTCAAATCCCTCATTTGGAAAACTGGTGACACTGAGCTAGACTTTTTGAGGATCTGACCTCTTTGGATACTAGGTATTTCCATTGCCTCTGTAGTGTTGCCATAGGTCAATACATACTGACTTACGTTTCTGGGCTCAATTTTTGTTTGTTTATTTGTTTGGTTTTGTTTTTGAGACGGAGTCTTGCTCTGTCGCCCAAGCTGGAGTGTAGTGGCACAATCTTGGTTCACTGCAGCCTCTGCCTCCCGAGTGCAAGCGATTCTCCCACCTCAGCCTCCCAAGTGGCTGGGACTACAGGTATGCACCACCACGCCCAGCTAATTTTTGTATTTTTAGTAGAAATGGGGTTTCACCATGTTGGCCAGGCTGGTCTCAAAGTCCTGACCTTGGGTGATCTTGGGCTCAAATTTTGATGGATAGTAATGATCTGGAGTTCTCATTATGATCTCTCTTTTTCATTAATGCAGTTAGTTTAAAAAGTATGTACAGAGAGTGTTTAGCATTCCTAGCCTTATATTGAAAGTATACAATGACAACACCTAAGAACTGGAGGGTATTGTCTTTGTCTAGCAGGTGATTGTAACTTAGAAATGCAGATGAAACAGAAGTAATCAGCAGTGTAATAATGTAAGTCTTTTACTCAGAGATACCGTGATTAGTAGCTTATGGAACAGACACAAGTTAATTAGCCTACAAATTTAAAAAACCAAAATGAATGAATAATAAACAGATTTGGAAGGTAGCTTAGTGGAGTGAAACCTCATGTTTTGAATCTAAGCGCTACTATTGATTGTTACCTAATCTTTTTTAGCTTTAATGCCTTCATTTGCAAAATAGAGATAATTATAGCTACCTTGCAGGGTTGTTGTAAAAATTGGACAAATACAATGTGTTTTATAAATGGGGACTGTGTAATGAATATTATCTTCATGACCAAATCTCCACTGGAGCTTCACAGCCATTAAGTAATACTCAACAAGGGAAAAGTTGGGTTGTTTACAACAGCCAGAAGGGTCTTGTCCTTGCAGAGGTGAGACCTGAGTGAGAGTAGATTATAGATAATTGATGAGAGCCAAAGGGAAGAGTAACTATTACCAGCCAAAGCTTGGTTTACAAGAGGGCCTTTCTTTGACTTTACTTAGGAACTGAAGCCCCTAGATGCTAAAGCCACATGGCAGGATTATAAATCCAAAACCTGCATGTTCATACTCAATAGTGTGGCATATTCTTAATGCAAATTTTAAGTTGGATATAGTTATTATTACTGAAATTTATTTAGCTGAGAGGAGACCTATTGCAAGACTAAAGAAGGAAAATAATCAGACTGCATCCAAACTCATCTGTTATTGGCCATATTTTCATATTTTGAAAAATACACTAGTTTATCTTCCAATCACACAGCAAGTTGAGCATTAGACTTGGTATTTTCACAGACATTATCTCATTCCACCCTGACAGCAATGATGGAAAGTGTGCGTACTATCCTCATTGTAAGTATGAGGAAAAGGCCTTAAAGAGCCCAGTAGAGCCAGCATCAGAGCCCGGGTTGTATTTGCCTGTAACTACACCATGTTACACAGCTCCTACAGATCACATATCACAGTGATTTTCTGCTGTTATTCATAAATTTCAAGTAGGTAACTGAGGGAGAGGGCACTGAGGGTGAGGGGATTGAAGTGTGGAGCGATACAGGTGCTCTTGCAGTGGAGATGGGGGTATATATGGCACGTAAACCATGAGATTGCAATGGGGAGTGGGTAGGAAGCAGACCACAGACCATCAGGCAACCAAACTCTAAGATAATTGTCCAAGGAGCATTAATTCACCAACCTTGGGGCTCCCAGTGAGACTCCAGAAATGCTGAAACCCTTTTTCCTGTTTTCCCTTTTACTTGCTAGATGTCTCAATTCTTTTTTAGCATAACTTGATGTCACGCCAATGTCTTTGATATGTGTGTCTGAGAAAGCAGCTACTGAAAATCGTCTTCTCCAGTAAGCCTTCCAGGACTGTAGGTAAGGGTGTCTGTCACTACTCCCAGCAGCCCTCGAGGGTGGACAGTAGTAACCTCCTGGGACTCACTCTCACCTGTCACTCTGTGCAGCTACTGGCCTTTCTTTTTCTTCATAGTAAACCCTTTCCTTGAATTCAATGTTAACAACATTCTCTACTCCCCCTTTATAGTCCAGTGTTATCTGGTTATCTGCCTCACTTTGGAAATCAGAACCTCCTAATTAGGCGGGGCATGGTGGCTCACACGTGTAATCCCAGCACTTTGGGAAGAGGTGGGCCGATTACCTGAGGTCAGGAATTTGAGACCAGCCTGGCCAGCATGGCGAAACCTCATCTCTACTAAAACTACAGAAAAAAAAAAAAATTAGCTGGGGGTGGTGGCGCACACCTGTAGTCCCAGCTGCTTGGGAGGCTGAGGCAGGAAAATCGCTTGAACCCGGGAGGCAGAGGTTGCAGTGAGCCAAGATCATACCACTGCACTCCAGCCTGGGTGACAGAATGAGACTCCATCTCAAAAAAAAAAAAAAAAAAAAAAAAAAAAAAAAAAAATTCTTTCTAATTGTTTACTAGATGCTTTGGGAAAGACCTTGAATTTGCAAACCTGTGAACTTTTCCACTCTGAGGAGGGGAGCAGAGCCTGCAAGAAGCAGACCAGCCCTGTCATTGAAGCTTTGAGCTATTTTCTGGACTATTTTCTGTCTTTTACTCTTAGTTAGCAGTTACACTCTTAATATGGTATAAGTCAAGTTTGCAATGACAGTGAATTTCAGCACTCTGCCCAGGTGTGCAACTGTAATAAGGTGTCCATTGAACAATGCACGACAAAAGCTTTTAGATCGCTGGCAGAAAATAAATAAATTGAATAAGTAAAAATTGAAAGCAGATTATAGAATTAGTTAAGCATAGTTTTTAAAGCATGATGTTTCTTTATTCCAAAAGGAATACATGTTTATTGCATAAACTTTGGAAAATGTAAGAATTTGACATGATTGATAACAGAGCAGAGGCATTTATCTCTTAGCTGGTTTGGGGTCCATTCTCCTTTCTACATCATTTTCTCCTATGAGAGAACAAATGTAACAAAGGGTATCAAGAAGTTTCTTTTCCTTCCCTCCTTTCAAGACTGCATCTTACAGAGGTGTATCAGATCTAGAATTTTACACAGAGGGGCTTAGAAGTCATGTCTTGTTACAAAGAGAGGATTAAAGCTGTGAGTTTGTATAGCACGTGACATAAGACCTGAAAAACATCAATTATTCATTCTGGAGAAGGGCTCGCAGAGAGATTTTGAAAGATAAAGCCCTCCCAAGCTACACTCCTAGTGCCTCAACTGCTGCAGAGGGGTGTCCACAAGACTATTTAGTTACCTACTCCGTTAATCAGTATTTATTGAACACCTTCTGTGTGAAGTGCCAGAAGGTAAATCCTAGACAAAACGAGAAACAAAAATGAACAAATTTTGGTTCCCAGCTTTATGGGATTTTAAAATAACAAAAGAAGACTTTGCTTGACATTTAGGTCATTTTCTACTAAAAATAATGCTGTGATGAAATCCCTGTGGTTGAATTCTTTTGCACATCTCTGAATATTTCCTTAGGATTCATTTTTAGAAGGAGATATACAAGGTGTCAGCTTCATGATCTTAGAACTTATAAAATAATCAGACAAATCAGAAGACATAGCCAGAATTTAATGGATTATTGATTTATTATCTATAGTAGTTGAGTGGTTCCAAAACTTAAAAGTACATGTAAAGAATTCGGGAGTTTGACTAAAAAGACATTTAAATGGCCAGGTGCGGTGACTCATGCCTGTAATCCCAACACTTTGGGAGGCCGAGGTGGGCAGATCACCTGAGGTCAGGAGTTCAAGACTGGCCTGGCCAACATGGTGAAGCCCCATCTCTACTAAAAATACAAAATTAGCCAGGCATGATGGCACATTCCTATAATCCCAGCTACTTGGGAGGCTGAGGCGGGAGATTGCTTGAACCTGGGAGGTGGAGGTTGCAGTGAGCCAAGAACAGAACTCCATCTCAAAAAAAAAAAAAAAGCCATTTGAACATCTCAAAAGCCAAAGAAATATAAAATCCATTCAAATGAGAAAGCTTCAAAAGTGAGTGTTACAGATCCCAATATGATTTGAAAATTAGGTAATAAGATGACTCACATCTAAGGCCTTTTGTTTCAAATGATGAAATCTCTGTTTCAGGCTATAAATAGGGCTCAATATGCCAGTATGCCCTTTCAGTGTCATAAACACCGATCGAGTGTCGTCTCAGCCTGTATCACCTAGCACCCACAAAGCTTCAGCTAGCCAATCCATAAATTACACAGGGAGGTAATCCTCCAAACTGTGAAGGATGACATCATCACTTCCTTGATGACTAAGCCTCTTCCAACTCTACGAAGATTTAGAAAGTTTTTCATGGTATTAACATATTTTGTGTTAGGAAATCTATGTATGCTTAGTATTTTTGGTCCTTTCTTTTTCTTTTCTTTCTTTCTTTTTTTTTTTTTTTTTTTAGACAGTCTTGCTCTGTCACCCAGGCTGGAGTGCAGTGGCACAATCTCACCTCACTGCAATCTCCACCTCCTGGGTTCAAGAGATTCTCATGCCTCAGCTTCCCGAGTGGCTGGGATTACAGGTGCTCACCACCATGCCTAGCTAATTTTTGTACTTTTCAATAGAGACAGGGTTTCACCATGTGTACTTTCAATGTTTATAATTTAGCCTATTACAGTTAACAGATTAGTTTCTTAGTTTCTATTTTAAACATGTATGTAATGATTAATGGATTAAGACTTGTGATTTAAGTTGAAATTTTATTGAGTTGATCTATGTATTAAAATAGTGAAACGATCCTGAAGCTTATTGTATTTATAAGCTTATTAGATTCATGGTTTATTTGGTACCAGGAAAGTTTGTTTGTTAGATCAGACAATTACAGTGTTGAAAAGAAAATTGATGTTTTAAATCTATAAGTAGAGTTTAAGGAATTTGAAGGAGCCCATTTTTCTATAAATGAGATCAAACACAATTGATGGCCCTTAAATATAATCGTTATTAATTACTAGACTATGAATAATTTTTGAATTTAACACCTTAATGAAGAGTTACTGTTTAGAACTTGTCATTTTAATTTAAAAGTTCAAAACAATCTTTTCTACACACAAAATTCTCTTTCAAA